TCAATTCAAGATTAATAACAGACTTAAACCTAAGGCATGAAACCTTAAGAATCCTAGAAGAAAATGTAGGGAAAACTCTTTCAGATATCTGTCTAGGCAAATGATTTATGAAGAAGACCCCAAAGCAATCACAGCAGCTACAAAAATAAATAAATGGGACCTGATCAAATTAAAAAGCTTTTGTATAGCCAAGGAAACTATCAGACAACATACAGAATGGGAGAAAATATTTGCTGTCTACACATTCAAAAAAAGGCTGATAACAAGAATCTATAACTAAAAAAAAAAAAAAAAATCTAACAACCCCATCAGAGTTGAGTATGTTTTAAAACTAAGCGAATGACCACACATGCCAAGCTGGGACTTCGTTGAATGAGCTAGGGAAATGAGTGGTACAAAGCCTAATCAGAAACTATTTCCAGTGTCAGTAAGACTCCCCCCCCCCTTTTCCTAGATGTACCTTAAGAAGAATTGGGGCTAGAGCTTTACATTTGAGAGCCAGCAATTAAAACAGGTTTTGATTTCAGTACTCCTACAACAAGTTCAAGGTCAATTAGCTAGTAACCAAACCAGTTTATTACTGCCTTCCAGCGATGCCTAGGTCTCACACTGCTTAGTGTCGTCTTCCATGCTTTTCCTCCTCTGTTTCCACGAGGGCATTTCTCTTAGTATGTTCCCTCTTCTTTTGTTCTGTTTACTGTTTAGGCTTATTGACTTCCAGTTGACCTAATTGCAGGTTCAAAATTATGGCTGTGGCAGGTCCTTTCCTGGTAAAATTGAGCTCATGGTATAGTAAGCTTGGGAAGGTCAGGACACACACGCATACGCACATAAAAATCAGTCTTCCTGCCAAGGCCAGTAGATTGGAGGCATTCTTAGATGTCTCTACTTCATGGGATACTCTTGTCATTTTGGCCTTTCCCTGACTTAATGATGGCCATGTACTGGCCTGGGGTCCTTCAGCTGTCAAGTATTTAGTTTCTGAATAAATATTTACATTGCCACTCTTTGGTGGCTTTAAAAATAACCTTCTGCTGGAATCTACTTCCTAAATGTTGTTAAAGACATTCCACTCCTCCTTGATAGACTACTATTGCTTGTGCAGTTCCTTCTCCGAAGCAGTGTGATTCATAGTAATGTGGCTGGCATTGAAAAGCACGCATCCCTTGATAGCTTGGGATGCTACCTGAGTGCAGGAGAGCAACAATAGCTCAGGTGGCGTAGGGCAGGCTAGTGGTTAGTGCCAGATACACCAATCAGGTTTGCAGTAGTCAAGAACTGGTATTGATCAGCTATCCCTTCCAAACTCTGAAGGCTTTTTAACCCTCACAAAAAATAGCTTGCAGTATTCTCAGAGTGTCAAAAGGAGTTCTGATAGAGCTTTCCCTGGAGAATGTTTCCAAAGTGGGAAGTGGAAGCTCCATTTACGTCTTGCAATAATTCACAAATAAGCCCTCAAACGAGCATACATATCAGGATTCAGATCGAGTGCCAGTAAGTGAGTGAGGAATTAGTGACCTCGTGAAGAGACACTGGGCTGTGATTTTTGTTTTTTGTTTTCTTTTTCCTTGAGACAAGAGTTTCACTCAGTTGCCCAGGCCAGAGTGCAGCGGCATCATCATAGCTCACTGCAACCTCACACTCCTGGGCTCAAGTATCCTCCTGCTGCAGCCTCCTGAGTAGCTGGGACTATAGGTATGGGCCACGACACCTGGATGATTTTTTTCTAATTTTAGTAGAGACAGTGTGTCACTTTTGTTCAGGTTGGTCTCAAACTCCTGAACTCAAGTGATCCTCCTGCCTTAGCCTCTAAGAGTGCTAGGATTGCAGGTATAAGCCACCATACCTAGCCTGGGCTATGATTTTTGAGTTGACCAATGCAGCTAAGGGAAGACAGCCAAACCAAGGCAGATTTCTAAGTTTTGATGATGTTATAAAAGTATTCTATAGCCACTGTAGAAAATGTTGGGACATGCAGAGAAGTAAAATTATGCATAATTCAATGAGTTTTTGCTGTTAACATTTTGTAGTATTTGTGCAGATCTTTCTGTATACACAAACAGTAGACTTGCATGCAGTATTAGAAGATTTAACATTTGCATGTGATCTTGTGATTGTGATGATTCTGTGAAGTACTGCAGTTAATTATTTTGCTAAGACACTAATGTGCACCATGCATGTTATAAAATTGGTGTGATTTGTACATTTGTAAGGTTGGGCTATATCCCTGATAGAGAGCAAAGGTATGTGGTATAGTGTGTGACAGTGTGTGTGCATGGGTTTATGTTTTAGTCCATTTTCTTTGCCTTTTTTTGGAGACAGGGTCTCACTCTGTTGCCCAAGCAAGTGCCGTGGCGTCAGCCTAGCTCACAGCAACCTCTAACTCCTGGGCTGAAGCGATCCTTCTACCTCAGCCTCCCAAGTAGCTGGGACTACAGGTGTGCACTACCACACCTGGCTAATTTTTTCTAATTTTAGCAGAGACAGAGTCTTGTTCTTGCTAAGGCTGGTCGGGAACTCCTGAGGTTAAGTAATCCTCCTGCCTTGGCCTCCCAGAGTGTGAGCCACCACGCCCAGCCATAGTCCATTTTCTGTTGCTTATAATAGAATACCCCAAACTGGATGATTTATAAAGAAAAAGAATTTGTATCTTACAGTTTGGGAAGCTGAAAATTCCGAGGTCTAGGGACTGCGTCTGGTGAGGGCCTTCATGCTGGGGGGACTCTCTGTGGGGTCCCGAGGCAGTGCGGGGTATTGTTTGCATGGTGAGGAGGCTGAGTCTGCTAACGTGCCAGCTCAGGTCTCTTGCCCTCTTTTTATAAAGCTTCCAGTTCCATTCCCATGATAGCCCATTAATCCATGAGTGGACCAGTCTGTTCACCAGAGCAGAGCCCTCATGACCCAGTCACCTCTTAACAGCCCCACCTCTTAGTACTGTCACATGGGCGATTAAGTTTCAACTTGAGTTTTGGAGGGGACAGTTATACAAACCATAGCATTGTGCTCGTGTATAATCACACTGTATGTTTAATATCCTGATTTTCTTCACTTAGTGTCATAAACACATTACCATATTATTAGATATTACTAAAAATGTGATTTGAAATGGCTGCATTATATTCCATAAGTGGATCTACCTTAATTTATTTAACGTCACTGGATACTTAGGTGATTTATACTTTTGTTTGCTTATTTGTAGCATTATTGCTAATCCAACTAATACTGTGATGAATGTTCTTATCATTTTAGCTCAGAACCTGTGAGGTAATTATGTTGAGGTGTATGTGTGTGTAAGATTTTTTAATACATATTGACAAATTGCTTTCCAGAAAAATTATTCTCATTGACACCTGTTCAGCAAGTTTAAAATGTGCTAATCTCAGTATACCTTCACTTACGTTAAATCTTATAAAAAGTAATTATAGGCCAGGCATGGTGGCTCACGCCTGTAATCCTAGTGCTCTGGGAGGCCGAGGCGGGCAGATTGCTTGAGGTCAGGAGTTCGAAACCAACCTGAGCAAGAGCGAGACCCCGTCTCTACTATAAATAGCAAGAAATTAATTGGCCAACTAATACATATATAGAAAAAGTTAGCCGGGCATGGTGGCGCATGCCTGTAGGCTGAGGCAGGAGGATCGCTTGAGCCCACGAGTTTGGGGTTGCTGTAAGCTAAGCTGACGCCACGGCACTCACTCTAGCCTTGGCAACAAAGTGAGACTCTGTCTCTAAATAAATAAATAAATAAATAAATAAATAAATAAAATAAAAAGTAATTATAGCAATTTGCTAAACAATAGCTATTGGAATAAATTCTAATTGGAATTAATCTTTTCCTGGAACAAGCCATGGATGTGTCCACCTTTCCCCATTTCCACTACTGCCATCCCAATAGAAGCCACCATTATTTTCCTTCTGAATTGCTTTAATACCGGAACTCCTAATAGGCTCGCAAGGATTTTCCTGATGTGGCCCCTGTCTACCTTTCTAGCTTTGCCTGAAGACTAGCCTCCTTAATTTCTGTACTAACCTTCCTTTATTTCTTTCACCACTCATTGCGCCTCTCCCTCCATGTCTTCACACACGTTCCTTTCCCTGGCAAGCTTCCTCTTTCCCATGGCTGTTCTCACACACCTTTCCTGACTAAGTCCTCCTCCTAACGTAGGGCTCCTTAAACATCCTCATAGCAACCCATTCTTTTTCTTCCTTATGTTGAAAACAACTGTAATTAATCCATTCACTTTTGTAAATTATGTTTTTAATAATTAGCTGCATAATTTAGATGGGGTAGGTGATTGACATGCATTATTTCCATAGTTTTGCAAAAAATACATACATATACACATTTATTAGGGGAGAATTAAAAAAATTAAAATAGTCTATGATTCATGGAATGAATCATCCTCAAAGAATAATGACAAGACCACGGGTTCTGGACTCCTAGATCTTGGTTTGGAATCCTAGACACACCATGAGCTGTTTAGTCTTGGGAAAGTTACTTGACCTCTTCTGCTTCACTTTCCTCTTCTATAAAATGGGGTTAATATTATAGTTAAATGTATCTTTTATGATTGCCGTGAATACCGAAGGAACTAGTTCATGAAGTCCTTATTGTACAGCCTGGCATGTGGCAGGTGGTATATTATGTAAATGTTAGCCATTATCCTTTTCTTTATTCTCTTTTCCATCTTCTTTATCTTTGAACTATAGTAAGTGCCAACTCTGCGGTGCATAGTGCTAGGTGGTATCTAGGGGAATGCTTTCTTTCTAGGGAATTGCCCTGCGCCTTTTGCAGTGTTTCCTCTCAGATAATGAGCTTACTTCTGATGTATTTTGTGGAGCTTCTTCTATCACTCTGACATTCTTCTTTAGGAATTCATGATACTTCACTTCCAGAATTGTAATGAGTATCATCTGTAAAATAACATAATTTATCTCCATTTCTTTTTTTTTGGTAGTATAACTTTTTGAGTATTAACACTCAAATCTGTTTTCCTTGACAGCTGGCAAACTTCCCCAGACTCTGCGAGGAAACGGAAAGGATCGTTGCTAACCACATTCGTGAGCGAGAAGGGAAGACGAAGGACCAGGTAAGGAGAGAATGTCCCTGGTGGGCAGGGAGCTTGTGGGAAGTGGGAAGCATCTCCAAGGCTGTCCCTATCCCTTAATGGAAAAAAAAATAGTGGAATAAACAACTACATCAATGAATTATACATGTGTTACTATACTAATATCTTATGTATGTTAAAACTATAAACAAATATAAAGACTTCAGAAGAATGAAATTTAAAAACAGTAAGAGGAATTCCATTATTTTTTTCCGAGACGCTTCATGGATCATCACATGCACACATTCTACTTTGAAAACCAGTAATCCAGAAACATTCCACATTTTTCCCTTAAGACAGGAGTCCTTAACTTTTAATGGGCCTGCAGATGGGCTCCAGCAGGTTCACAGACTCCTAAAATGTTATGCAAGAGGTTTAGTGTTTTTAGTTTTTTCTGAGAAGAATGGACACAGCTTTTCATCAGCTTATCCATAGAACCTATGATTGAAAAAAATTTAAGAACTGCTCTTTTAAACATTTCTGACTATTTTGTAAGTATATGTGGTTTGTGAGGAGTGACCCTGAGATTGTCTTCTAATCCTAGCTCTGTGATTTAGAAAGATGATTTTCAAGTGAGAACAATTCATTAAAAAATGTGAAGGATTAAATGAAAATTATAAAAGCTTCCTACATTTAAGTTGGTTTTTTCTTAGTTACTTATAAATCATTACAATGGGAAAAACAAAACAAAGGTTTTCAAAAACTTTAGGATTCCATGACACAGCTGCGCATGTGATGTTTGGAGAGAACACTGGACTTAGGCCATGTGCTCTCCACAACATCACAGCATGTTCTTGCGAAAATCTCTTATTTGGACTGTTGTTTTCTCATGTACAGCATTGGGATGTTGGTCTGTATGATCTCTGAAAGCCTCTGTGAGTTAGCATTCCAAGATTTTGTGATTCTCAAGTGAGTTGGGGCGGGGGAGAAATGGGAGAAAAATGAAATAAAAGAGAGACCGGGACAAACGGCAGGGAGACGCACAGCAGGCACGAAGTGGAAGTGAGCCCGTGGGTGCGGGTGCAGGGGCAGAGGGAGGGAGGCCCCGCAGGTTGGGGCGTTTGTGAGTGACGCCAGTCCCAGCCTTTCCTCTCCACGAGCCGTGGGGTTCATTGTCACTGCTTTTTATTGTTATGTCTTGAAAGTTAGTTAACCACTATTTATAGTTTTTACTTGTTTTCCAACTTTCACACTCTTGGATAGCTGCAATCGCCAAAAGTAGAGAAAATAGGGCCTTGTGACTTCTTTGAGATAAACAAGTCAATATTCACGAGCCAGTGAAATCAAGGCCAGGGCCAGATATATAGCCCCATGGACAGAGGTTCCTTCTCCCACCCCATCTGCTGTCTTGGCTGCTCCTGGGCCAAGAAAACTTATGTTCTCAGGAATCAGCTGTACTCCTGACGTTAAGTAAAGTAAAGCTAACTTCTATTTTATTGTCTTCATAATATTCAAGTAATAAGATATCCTATTTAACTCTTAGGAATCCTGTAGAAAAATAACATTGAAAAAAAAAAAAACATCATAGTTGTTGTTTAAACCGTCTTTATGATCATAGCTAAGTCAGTTGATAACTTGCTATTTGGTGTTTTGGAATTTTTGTTTTAGCAAAATGACATGTTCAAACCTTGCTTTGTTGTTGAGATCGTGGGCTCTGGGCTCGGACTCCCTGCCTTTGAATTCAGGCTCTACCGGTTACTTTCTGTGTAACCACTGACAGGTTACTTGCCCTTTTTACACTTTAGTTTCCTCATCTTAAAGTGGGACAATGGTGGTAGATAATTCCTCACAGGCATTTTGTGAGGATGAAATGAAGTAATCCAAATATAGCTTTTAGTTCTTAATTAATTTTAGTTGTTTTTGTTGTTACTCCCAAAAGCTATGACACACAGTAGGTACCAGGAAATGTACCTTTCCTGCTTTCAAGGGGAAGTGTCTTCCATCTGCAGCTCTGATGCAGTGATCACTCATTCCCCAAGGTGGCGTAAGGGGAGGGACAGGCACCTCCCTCCTGGTGACACTCTCAGACAGCCAGGTCTCACAAGTGTCACCCCTTGCAGAAGCCACTAGTGGTCACCTCTAACATGGAGCTGTGTGGCATAGCAGAAACATGCTGCATAGTCTCACATTTGAATTCTGAGCTCCCTGCTGCCTTGGGCCATGTGGTACTTTTGAAGTCTCTGATCAGAGAGAGTGACCTGTTAACTCAGGTCTCTGGGTCTGAGCTGTTTTGAGACATTCTTGTAGTTTCTTTCTTTTAAAAAAAATAGAATTACTGCCAACCCCCACTCTGGAAGCTTTGTGGGGGGAAAAGTCTTCAAAATTAAAAATACGGAAAACCATAAATCTATCTGAGCTTTTTTCTTAAAGGGTTTGGAATATCTCTGTGTGCCAGCTGTTATTCTAGGTACTTCCACACATGAACTTGCCTGGTGAAGTGCTTGACTTTGTGCATGATTACCGCTACCAGGGGTAGCTTTCCTTTTCTTCAACTAAATACACAATAACTGTGGGGGGCGGGGGAGGCAGTGGGAAACTCTGAGCAAGTGAAAAAATGAGAAAAAAATGCACTATTTTCCTTTTCATCCCCACATGCGACCTGGCTCTTTTCCTAGAGTGAACACAGACTCCCAGTTTCCAGGAATATGAATGAGAACAGCCATAGCTTTTATTTTTTTCCACTTTTTTCCTATATTGCAGTCCAAGTTAATGTGTGTGAACGTCCAAGATCTTCATGACAACCTTTGGCAATGTTGAGAATTATGTAGATATTTTGTTCCTTATGGTGGCAACAATTTGTGCTTAAATATTATAGTTTATTGGTACAAAGTCTTGGCCAAATGGATCTGGGAGTATAACATTTAATGGAATGTGGCTTTATTGTTGGGAGAATAGAGGCAAAACTACAGCTAATCTAGCAATGATCACTCTTCCTAACTCTTCAGTTTTCTTTAAGAGATGAAACAAAACTATATAAAACTTTTTCATGCAAGTATGATGTTATTGACCCAATAACTCCCATGCCTTGACTTTATTTTTGGGTAGTGGGAGTGGATTTGGAGTGATTTTTAAAATCTTCTTTTAGCAGGTCCCCTTGTGACTCTCAGCAATATTTGGTCAGATGACTGGTGGGGATTAGTCACAAAAGCAAAACCTCAGAGCCCATAGCACGAGGTATTGAATAAGAAACAATAATAAGTGGCCATATACTAATTATATGGGAATAAATTGTTCCCTTTAAAGTTAAGTTTTGCAAGCCTGGTAGACAGTTACAAAATGAAAGCCACAAATATTTACCAGACACCTATCATGTGTGTCATGCTAGGTTCTGGGGACAAAAAGGTGAACCAGACATAACTGCTGCTTCTGTGGAGCTTACAGTCTGGCAGGGAAGGGAAACATCACACAAAAAATTATATAATTACATCTGCAGTAAACACAAATTGAAGTATAGGGTGCAATATAGGTAATTATGGTGTATGGACTAAAAGAATAGCACGTTCCATCCTGTTCTTGGGTGAGGTTAGGAGGTGAGGATCGGAGAAAGCTTTCCTGAGGAGGTACCTCTGGGGAGCAGTGTCTAGACTGTGTCTATGAACTGTTACACAAGGACTTTACCATGATAACTCCGTGCACTCAAATATTGCCTTCCATGAAGGGAGGCAGCATAAAAACACTCCTTATGGTCATCAAAAGTTCATTCAACAAAGTCAAAGTGCAGAGCTCTGGAGATATTCAGGCAGAGATTTGTTAAGTCCTTTATTTTTCCCAATCAAGTCTTACCACCCTAGAAAAAGGTATGGCACAGTTGAAGAACAAAAGGAAACTTAGGAAGAGAGGAGCTCAGTTTTTTGTTTTTTTTTTTGAGACAGAGTCTCGCTTTGTTGCCCAGGCTAGAGTGAGTGCCGTGGCGTCAGCCTAGCTCACAGCAACCTCAAACTCCTGGGCTCAAGCGATCCTTCTGCCTCAGCCTCCCGAGTAGCTGGGACTACAGGCATGTGCCACGATGCCCGGCTAATTTTTTTTATATGTATCAGTTGGCCACTTAATTTCTTTGTATTTATAGTAGAGACGGGGTCTCACTCTTGCTCAGGCTGGTTTTCGAACTCCTGACCTCGAGCAATCCGCCCGCCTCGGCCTCCCAGAGAGCTAGGATTACAGGCGTGAGCCACCTTGCCCGGCCTGTTTTGAATACCTCTGGAATAAAATCCTCTTTCTTATAGTCCCCTCTTGTGCTCTCTCAGGCTCCCTGTCCCCCCACTGAAGAGTATTTTCCACAGAGGGACTTCCCAAATGTCTGACTTGCTGTTTATAAGTATCTTATGATAAGAGTGTTTGCATGTTGGCTGGGACATGGGTTCGGTTTATCCCTTCACAAATCTTGACTGAGTGCACATGATATTCCAGGCATTGTTCTAGGCACTGGAGATGTAGCAGTGAAGACAACAGATGAGGTCATCTGTATGTGGAATATGCAAAAATTTGCTATGTCAGCTAGTGGTAGGGCTACAAAAGAAAAAAGCAGGGTAAGACAATAGAGAGTAACGAGTGTTGTTAATAATTTAGACAGACTGAGCAGGGAAGAGCCCTTTGATGAAGTGATATTTTAGCAGAGAACCAACTGACATTTTGATTTACTGATGAAGCCTACTGGTCTCAAGGAGGCTTTGTATTTATTAGTATATTGCCTTTTGAGTTGGTTGATAAGATGCCTTGGGAGCTTAAAGATAATAGAAAGGAGAGGAAAAACAAGAGGTGATATTGCTACTTTGTGGTTAATTTATGGTGTGCATGTCTTGACAGAGTCTCACTTTGTTGCCCAGGCTAGAGTGAGTGCGGTGGCATCAGCCTGGCTCACAGCAACCTCAGACTCCTGGGCTCAAGTGATCCTCCTGCCTCAGCCTCTCGAGTAGCTGGGACTACAGGCATGCACCGCCATCCCCAGCTAATTTTTTTCTATATATATTAGTTGGCCAATTAATTTCTTTCTATTTATAGTAGAGATGGGGTCTTGTTCTTGCTCAGGCTGGTTTCGAACTCCTGACCTCAAGCTATCCGCCCGCCTCGGCCTCCCAGAGTGCTAGGATTACAGGCATGAGCCACCGCGCCCAGCCCACATGTCTTTTTATACATGCTTGCCCTTCTTTTGAACATTATGCCTACATTTTAGAGAGATAGAATAATTCTAGGTTCTTGTGAAATTAGCAAATAGTACATGCCTATAACTATAATGCTTTTCATGTGGTGCTTAGACTTACTTTTCAAGTAGATTTTTAACTTACGAATTTAGAGTACAAAATTATGAGTCTAATGAAGAAAAATTAATGTAACTTTTCTAATTGAAGCATCCTTTTAAAAATTAAATGAAGATAAATAATTTGTGGGCAATTACTGAATCTAATGTTTGAGAATTCTTAAGATGGGTTTTTGCTGAAGTGTTTCTCTTTAATTTACAGGTACTGCTGTTGATTGACATTCAAGTCTCCTACATCAACACCAACCACGAAGACTTCATTGGCTTCGCAAAGTACGTGAAACCCTTGATTGTCATACCCGTTCCTCCTGCTGGTTTGTCTAGAACAAACATTGTGAATTTTTACTATAATTCCACCACCTTTCGAGAGTGTAGTCTTTGTCAAGATTAACTCTGAGTTTACCTACTTAGGAGGTCTGGGCCCGATGACCATGTGGTAGGGGGATTTACTGTTCTTTTGATAAAGTAGTTGGCTCTATTCAGCATATGAAGCCATGTGTGTCTTAGATGCTCTTGGACGATGATCCGCACTTTGTACTTGAGCTCCTATAGATAAGCAGTAACAAATGCACATTTAAAAATTGGCTTGGAAACAATTTTTCACATTAGTTTGAAGTATCAAGTGCCATTCATAGAATATAAGCTATTTCAATTTTCCTAAATCAGAGTATTATAAAGGCCTATTTTTTAAAAGAACTCTCCTTTGTGAATTTAGATGTAATCTGTTGGGATGAATATTCTCTTCTCTTTAAAGTATATATACTTTATGTATGCTTGTCTATACATTGCAATTCTTCATAGACATTGTCATTTTTAAGATCTTGAATTCACTGTTTTTTTCCTACTTGTTATTGGAATCTTGATTCTTATTCTAAGATATATTTTTGGCATGTAAGTGGTTCCAACTTCAAGTATATAATAAAAAGTCTATTTTATATAAAATGTAAAATAGGAGAACTTACATACTTTCACTTGAACTAGATAGTCAAAAACAGGGACAAATAAAAAAACACCACAAAATGTCAAATTAGTTTTAATACACCCTGACTTAGAAGAAACTGATATGCCGACAATGTGACCTAAGCTACACTGTGGCCTGAGAAATTTACAGGCATATTTTAAGGAGAAAGGCCCAATTATCCAACAGAAAATTCTAAGCTTGGCTGCAGTTGTGATGGCCTACCCAATAGTGTAAATACTTTTTATAGCCAGTGGCTATTACTAGTGAGTGGTAGATTAGTTTTCCTCAACTGTTTTCTGTCCATAGCATGTAAACTTGTTAGAAGCCAGTTGGAAATACGTGCCCTTGTCTAGTTGTCTTTTCAGCCATGCCACCGACTCCAGCGTCCCCGTAGGTATTTGCTGCACGGGCATTGCACACAGATGTGCCCCCTCCCTCCTAACCCTTGTGACTGTTATCCTTTGCACCTTTTGTTTTCTTTTGCAAAATCCCCCAGGCTGTCAAGTGCCTCCTTGTCCCTAGCTGCGGAAGGGGCATCAGAGAATTTCTTACAGGTTTCCTTCACAGTCAGTGAACTCCAGGTGGCCTGGGCAAAGCTCTACTCCATAGGGGGGGAAATGAAGAAAAAGAAAAATTGTTTTTGCCTTTTAGAAGCTTGCCTAGTAATTGAAAAGTATAGAGAGACATATGTAAAATTTTAAACTGACACTTCTCCATTTACTTTGCTTCTTTGAGGGGTGTAAAAGACAAACCAGTCCCTGAGTCATTTGAAATAACAGGAATGCTGCTTTTAATGTTAATTTTTTATGGATTATGAATGCCAGTTAGGCTCTTATGAAAATATAGCAGATGGAAATCTGAACTTAATAACTTACAAGTGAAAAGGCTGTTGCAATGCTGCCTTGTTGTGGGATCCCAATTCAAGGGGAAAAATGTAGAAAAAGTCATAATCTGTTTGGAAAGATGCAAGGTTTGAACACATTGTATAACCAGTGTTTCAATTTAAATTTCACCTTTATCCTTTTAAAATATTTTTTTCCTGGATTACCTTTTTAAAACAAAACAAAAAACAACAAGATAGATGGGCTAGATACTATTTCTTTCCCAGAAAATTTCAGTATTTTCTACCTTAGAAGCTATTGGAATACAGTTTTATATTGATTATGTCAATTTATAGGTTTTCAAGGACATATAATTTTTGAAATTTAATACTTTCAAACACAGTCTTTTGATACAGTCTCACTGCATTACTGATCACTGCCCCTGTCTCACTGCAGTGAGATGGATTATGAACCTTTATGATGCTGGGAGAAAAAAAGCAGCATTGTTAAAACTGCTTTAGAAATACAGCAAATTTGAACATTTCTCATCTAAAATAAACTGCACACTTTACCCTGCCTTCGAAGGATTGGTCTGGGAGTCAGCAATCTGGGCTATTTTCCCAGGATTTGCCACTGATAAGCTTTGGGTTTTGGCAAGGCACTTATTCTTTCTGTATCTCAGTTTACTGATCTATCAAATGGAGTAATAAATAATTCTTATATACCTTTCAGGATTGTCGGAAGATCAAATTAATGAAGTTATGTGGAAATGCTTTAGAAAACTGTGTTGTAGTCTGTAAAAGTAGTTTAGTAGTTTTTCTCTTACTCTATACATAAACACACACAGGAATTTAATTATTAGATGTACCATTTTACTTTGTAATGAAGGTTTTAATGATGTAAGTGTGATTGTCACTGGAATATTTTTTAGTTACTAAGGTCATTATCTCCAAATGTAGTGTTCCGGTCTGAGACTCAGAGGTAAATGTCCTTTCCATTTGTATGCTGAGCTGAAGTACATTTCAGTGTGACATGGGGTAATTATGAAGATGAAATGTTCATCTCAGAATCACTTTGAAGGGTGTTGGTATTTTTTGTGCTTTTAAAAGTTAAAAAACATAGCTATAAATTTTAAAGTTGGCAAGAATGCTGTTTCCCTCAAGGAAGAAAAGTCAAGCCATATTTGAAGACAATTATGTAAGTATTTTTAAGTTCCAAAGATAGATAATTAAGATCTGGGGTTGTGAAAAATAAGCATTTGTTTCACGAGATTTTTAGAGAGTTGCCAAAAGAGAGAGGGGACTGCTTCTCAGATTTATAGAATGGTGATGTGCATAGCATTTTACAAATGTAATCTTTTCAACTGCAATGACTTTTGTTCTAAAAAAATATTTTGAGAAAGGAAAACAAATTACTAAAATTAGATTAATGGAATATTTAGTTTCATATTATTGTTCAGGACATCTCAAAATTCTTCTTTTTGCTGTAGAATTTATTCTGCCATGTTGAATATGTGAAACATTTTTTTCCATCTCCCAGTTATTTATTAGATATAGACCGTAAAATATGTACCATGTGTAACGTGGCCAAGTAAGTGCTGCTGTAGGCTTGCTTCGGAATTTCCTGGCTTCTAAAAGCTCAGTCTTTCAAGTATAATAGAGTTTCTGAACCTAAAAGTTCAGCATTTCAGAAGAAAGCATCAGCTTTCCTTGTGACTTAAGGGTTTTAATTTGTCATTCTTTCCTGTTGAAAAAAAAAAAAAGCCCTAAATTGTATGTATTTTAAACATAAAATTAATATAATATAAATGAGTTTTGTTGTTTAAGAAAATAAGAACTGGTCCAATTGTTCCTTCATTTAGTTCCCCTCATTCTCAGTAATACTGTTATCTGGACAGAAAAGTGCAAGTTTATTAGCTGAACGCCTTGGGAAGTGAAATTTCAAACTCTTGTGCTCTTCTTCATTTGTTCCATAACACGATTTACCTTCTGAGTTACTAGGATTTATGCAGACCAGTGGTTTAAGAGAAAGATGGGCTCCAGATATGGGCTGTTAAATTAATATCTCTATATACCACAAGTAGCAGACTACAGTCTGTTTTTCAATCTACTGAGTAGATTTCAACACCTGTTTTCTCACAGTTGAAATGATACAATGTGCAGATTTCAGTTCTTGTTATATGAGCCCCATGAAAATTCTATGGGTTGTAACATTCATTATATCTCTTTCCTGATCCTCTGGAATGTCTCTGTTGCCATTTTACTAAAGGCAGTGTGTTTGAACCTTGCCACTAAATTCCAGAGCAGTCTTTGTCTTTCCCTTTACATTCTCCTTTTATTTTTCCCTAATGCATAAATTATATTCTCTTATAACAGCGTTTCTAGTTCCTTTTCTTACATGAGAATGTTCTCTCTCTTGTGGAATCAAAACTTAGGTATTAAAAAGATCCTTCATTTGACTCAAATGCAAATTTAAGAATCAAATGCTTGGCTGCTTACTGGGTTACAGTATAGCTACTGTGTTGGACAGCATAGCTTTACAGTGTGATGGATCCAGCTGATTGCTCTGGGACCTTTATTAGCCGGCCCTACTTTACATCAGACATCCTTACTTTACCAAAACCAGATAAAGACATTACAAAAAAAGAGAGAGAGAGAGGAAACTACAGGCCAATATCTCTGATGAACATAGATGCAAAACTCCTCGATGAAATACTAGTAAACCAAATTCAACAGCACATTAAAAAGATTATTCATCATGATCGAGTGGGATTCATCCTAGAGATGCAAGGATGGTTCAACATACGCAAATCAATCAATGTGATACATCATATCAACAGAACAAAGGACAAAAACTGTATGATTATTTCAATTGATGCTGAAAAAGCATTCAATAAAATTCAACATTCTTTGAGATAAAAACTTTCACAAAACTGGGTGCAGAAGGAACATAACACAATAAATACCATACATGACAGACCCACAGCTAGTATCATACTGAACGGAGAAACACTGAAAGCCTTTCCTCTAAGATCTGGAACAACTCAAGGATACCCACTTTCACCACGATTATTCAACATAGTACTGGAAGTTCTAGCTAGAGCAATCAGATAAGAGAGAAGAAAGTGCATCCGAATTGGAAAGTAAGAAGTCAGATTATCCTTATTGGCAATGTAACCTTATATTTAGAGAAACCTAAAGACCCCACTGAAAAACTATTAAAATTAATACATTCAGTAAAGTTGCAGGATACAAAATCAACATAGAAGAGAAAAAGGAAGTAGATCTCTTAGCTGCTGCTAACCAAGCCGTAGGGCTCAGATATGTACAGTTAATTCTTTAAATACTCTACCATTAAAGTATGAAGGAGGAGCCTTCTCCTCCCACTGCCCTGCTCCTTAGTCTGTATGTTGCCATTTTGCTAATATTTTCTCCATCATGGTGGTTACTATTGAAGTTTCTTATAATTCCGAATCTCCTATGCAAAAGAAA